TCATTCAGGAATGATATGCCTCATTTAAACCCATTTATTGAAAACACATAATACAGTAGAAAATCTGCAAAAGCTGTACTGTATGTAAGGGCAGGATCTTGTCAGAAATGGAAAAAGCAATTATTTTCCACTACTAAGAGACTGGGAAAATGGTACCATGCTAAAAGTAGAAAACTTGCAAGACCCAGCAAAGCAAAGCAATCCCATCCAGTTCCTGCTCTCAGAGGGTTCCCTGAAAACGGAATTTTATGTTGGCGGCTCTACTTCTGAACTCTGGGTGAGGGCAATAGGACCAGGGAGGTACACAAAAGTCCTCTGTTATCTGGATTGAAAACAATGTGACCATGTTCATTTAGATAAAGCAGGATGCGAGACATGGGACTTGTTATATCATTCTCTTCATATTTGCAAAATTTAACAAGGCAAAGAAATGGTACATCATTTTTGAGAGAATCAGAATGTTGCAGGAGCAGACAGCTACAAATGGATGATTCATCAGCATTTTCCAAGTTTTTATTTTATGTAGGTCATTCCTTTGAATATGAAAGATAACCCCAAATTTACCAAGGTCATTTAATCACAGGATGGTTTTTGTGTAACATCCATATCTTCTTTCTAGAATTTGTGTTCTGAAAACAGTTCATCAACATCATGCACATGTCTGATTTCAGGAACTGAACATTCCGGAACTAAATTACTTCTGAAGATCCCATGCTGGAAGAATCCATCTTTTCATAGCCCCCAAATGTTGGCTCACCTTTTAATCATTCATGCTATTTTAATTATTTTTTATTATAAAAAAACCAATCAGCAGTAAGTAACATGACATAATTTGAAAGCTGTCCACTGGTGAAATTTCTTAATATGGCTCTTCTATCCATGTCTCTGTACCTCCCACCAAATGACTGGATGGGGCCATGCAAACACGGTGTATGAAGCACCAATAGAGGGGATTGGTCAGTTTGGCTGCCATCACCCTGGCTATAAGACAGTTATCTCAGAAATAGGACAGAGAGCATTCCCAAGTTCATCACGGAAGAAGAGTGACAGGTGGTGCACATTTGAAATCCCGCTCTGCCTCCAGCTGTGGAGGCTGAGCCCAGAGGCACCGGAGGCTGTGGTCTGGAACCATGGAATTGCAACAAGGAACGGAGCAAGGCCAGAGGCCAAGGCAAACAGGAAGGTGGAGCAGCTGGTGGGCTTTCTGATCTATGTAAGCAGAGGCCAAGGGACCACATGACAGAGAACCAGAGAGAATTGGCTGGTGGCTGATGAGAGGCGTTGCTATGGACCAATGACTACATCCTTAGCGTTTCTGATCCTCTGGATGTTTTCTGGTCCTGGCTTGTGGTAATCATGAGGATTGTTTGTGAGTTCCGTGTGGCCACTGTAGTGAATGATCAAACCTGGCCGAGAGCAGAGTCATCATGGGAGGTACAGTTGGAGTCAGAATAGGGTAAAAGGATGGAGGGCGGAGGCATGTCTGACCTCTGCCTCAGGGCACAGGCCTTGAGTTGGTGAGGAGCTGGATTTTCCCTCTTCCTTGTGTAGCCAGAAGAGGTCAGCTGTGGCCTCCAAGCTGATGACTCATGCCCCAAGTCACATTTTACGAAAGTAGAAGCAACAAGGTTTTCTTACTGATAGAAAAGGCATTTTTGAAACTGTTTAATGGATACCCTCCTTAGTGGATTCTTTAAGCACTAACAGAAAACATTTTGCTTTCACTATTGATGCTGAAAAGACGCGTTGTTTTTTAGCAAACCAGGAATAGAGTTTTGTTTTACTATCTTTAAAAATGAAGAGTGGGCTACAAGTGTCATAAACAACTACATTCAACACCTCGTGGTCGCACAGACTGGTGTGCTTCTTCCATGTGGGCTTTGTTGCTTCTCAGCTAAATGGTTGCTTGTTTACCTTCAAGCCTTTAAGACCCCAGATGCTTTATCTTTTGATAGCCGGGCACCATCAGCTTTCTTCACCACTTT